TGGAAGAGTCATCAGAAGAAAACCTCTTCTACGTCCTCACCACAAAAATCATCGTTTGAACTTTGCAAATGAACATATAGACAAGCCTGATGCATTTTGGAAACAAGTTCTGTGGACCGATGAGGTTAAAATTGAACTTTTTGGCCGGGAATGAGCAAAGGTACGTTTGGAGAAGAAGGGGCACAGAATTTAATGAAAAGAACCTCTGTCCAACTGTTAAGCATGGGGTTGGATCAATCATGCTTTGGGGTTGTGTTGCAGCCAGTGGCACAGGGAACATCTCACGAGTAGAAGGAAAAATAGATTCAATAAAATTTCAACAAATTTTGGATGGTAACTTGATGCCATTTGTGAAAAAGCTGAAGTTAAAGAGAGGATGGCTTCTACAAATGGATAATGATCACACACCTCGAAATCCACGGGGGATTACATCAAGAGGCGTAAACTGAAGGTTTTGCCATGGCCTTCACAATCTCCTGACCTTAAAAGAGCAGTGCGTCGACCGCCCTACTCAATCAATGCCCCCCTGGCATCTCCAATTCGCAATTTAAGCTCATCATGCAAGTTACAACAGCGGCTAAACAGGTTATAGCGAAATCCTGGAAATCCCCCACCCTAAGTGTCGCGGCCTTCAAAACCAGAATAACGCAAGCCATGATACATGCAAAGGTGGAAGCCACAATTCTCGACACGATTCCTAAATTCTTGCGCATATGGAGCCCCTGGGTAGAGCGCTTCCTCCCACCTAATTTTGACGAATCACTCCTTATCCCCTGATTTGTGTACTATGTGCTAAAGATATTGTCATTGGCCCTTTGTACGCAACACGTAGGGGTTATTGTACACTTGCTGAACTTTCATGGAGTCATTGTTGCTGTTCCTCTTCCCCTCCCCCCCCTCCCACCCCTGTCCTTCCCCCTATTTCTTTAATGCATTTGGGAGACATCACTTTGATTGGCTGGAACAATAATGTCTTTTGTTGTCAACTTTTACCTACCTGTTTCCGCTAGTAATGTATAGACAATTGTACTATGACCCTCATTCATATTGTTTTTTTTATGTCCTATTGCCACTTCAATGTCCAGTGTACATTAGCAATGTCTCTTTGTTTGTTCCACTCTGATTTATTGTTAATAAAATTGTTTGAACAAGAAAAGAGCCGTGCGTGACAGACAGCCCAGAAATCTCAAAGAACTGGAAGACTTTTGTAAGGAAGAATGGGCAAAGATACCTCAAACAAGAATTGAAAGACTCTTGGCTGGCTACAAAAAGCGTTTACAAGCTGTGATACTTGCCAAAGGGGCAGTACAAGATATTACCTCTGCAGGGTGCCCAAACTTTTGCAGACGCCATTTTTTTGTTTTCTGTTATTTTGAAAGTGTAAATGATGGAAATAAAATCTAACTTTTGTTGACATATTATAAGAATGTCTAATCTGTAATTTGATGCCTTTTGGAGATTTTTCCATCTTTCCTTGGCTTCTTTATGCACATTAATACAAATTTTTAGCTGGGGTGCTCAAACTTTCAATCCCCACTGTATATATTTTAGCAGAGACCCCTAGAGAATAAAATCGCAATCTCAATTTTTTATGTCACATGGTATTTGTGTGACAGTTTTTCAAACGCATTTTTTTAAAGTACACTTTAATTAATAAGAATTAAAAAAAAAAAAAAAAAACAATATATAACCCAATTATTTTGTAAATTATTAAAGATGATGTTATGCCGACAAAATAGACACCTAACATGTCAGGCTTTAAAATTGTGCACTTTCACAGAATGGTAAACTGCAATGCTTAAAAATCTCCATAGGCGAGGCTTTAAACATTTTCACAGGTTATCTGTTTAGAGTTACAGAGGAGTGTTAGAATTACATATTCGTTCAATTCTACATGCAGGATTGGGGCGTTTAAATATTTTTTTTTTCACACTGTCCTTTTAATTTTTTATGGCTTTTATTCCTGAAAAAAGGAATGTACGCATCCCTTGTAATATAAATAAGGGATGACCGGTCTTCTTTATGTATGGAGAGATCTGGAATCTATCAGACCCCAAATCACTCCTTTATCTTTAAAAGCAAAAGATAAAAAAAAAAAAAATTTGAGCTTTTGAAAAAAAAAAAAAAGTTTACTTCTGCCCTAGACTGGAAGTGATGTCACCCCGGTCCTCCAAGATCATAGTCTCTGATCACCTCTATGGCCAGCCGTGCGAACTGTCAGATCATTTCTCGGGCTTGCTGGTAAAAGAGATAAGCCTGAGAAACACTGGTGAGCTGTGGGAGGCGGGGGTTGGGGGGTTGGGGCTAGATCCTCCCAATGCTTCTGAAAGCGATTGATCCAGCAACTAATTAGCCGCTGTGACCGCTTTCATGTGATAGACAATCACTGGCAATGAAAACAAAATACTGGGGTTATGACTGATGGCTTCACCCATAACCCTGGTAAACCAATTTCAAGCCGCAAGGTATATATACATATTGTGGTCAGCAAGTGGGTTATATGATATTATTATTTTTATTATTATATGTTTGGACAGTGTGCATTATATGATATAAATTATTATACATACAGTGGGGCAAAAAAGTATTTAGTCAGCCACCAATTGTGCAAGTTCTCTCACTTAAAAAGATGAGAGAGGCCTGTAATTGGCATCATGGGTAGACCTCAACTATGAGAGACAAAATGAGAAATAAATCCAGACAATCACATTGGCTGATTTGGAAAGAATTTATTTGCAAATTATGGTGGAAAATAAGTATTTGGTCACCTACAAACAAGCAAGATTTCTGGCTCTCACAGACCTGTACCTTCTTCTTTAAGAGGCTCCTCTGTCCTGCACTCATTACCTGTTTGAACTTGTTATCAGTATAAAAGACACCTGTCCACAACCTCAAACAGTCACACTCCAAACTCCACTATGGTGAAGACCAAAGAGCTGTCGAAGGACACCAGAAACAAAATTGTAGACCTGCACCAGGCTGGGAAGACTGAATCTGCAATAAGCAAGCAGCTTGGTGTGAACAAATCAACTGTGGGAGCAATAATTAGAAAATGGAAGACATAGAAGACCACTGATAATCTCCCTCGATCTGGGGCTCCACGCAAGATCTCACCCCGTAGGTTCAAAATGATCACAAGAACGGTGAGCAAAAATCCCAGGACCACACAGGGGGGACCTAGTGAATGACCTGCAGAGAGCTGGGACCAACGTAACAAAGGCTACCATCAGTAACACACTACGCCGCCAGGGACTCAGATCCTGCAGTGCCAGACGTGTCCCCCTGCTTAAGCCAGTACATGTCCGGGCCCATCTGAAGTTTACTAGAGAGCATTTGTATGATCCAGAAGAGGATTGGGAGAATGTCATATGGTCAGATGAAACCCAAATAGAACTGTTTGGTAGAAACACAACTCGTCGTGTTTGGAGGAGAGAGAATGCTGAGTTGCATCCAAAGAACACCATACCTACTGTGAAGCATGGGGGTGGCAACATCATGCTTTGGGGCTGTTTCTCCGCAAAGGGACCAGGACGACTGATCCATGTACAGGACAGAATGAATGGGGCCATGTATCGTGAGATTTTGAGTGCAAACCTCCTTCCATCAGCAAGGGCATTGAAGATGAAATGTGGCTGGGTCTTCCAACATGACAATGATCCCAAACATACCGCCCGGGCAACGAAGGAGTGGCTTCGTAAGAAGCATTTCAAGGTCCTGGAGTGGCCTAGCCAGTCTCCAGACCTCAACCCCATAGAAAACCTTTGGAGGGAGTTGAAAGTCCGTGTTGCCCAGCGACAGCCCCAAAACATCACTGCTCTAGAGGAGATCTGCATGGAGGAATGGGCCCCAACATACTAGCAACAGTGTGTGCCAACCTTGTGAAGACTTACAGGAAACGTTTGACCTCTGTCATTGCCAACAAAGGATATATAACAAAGTATTGAGATGAACTTTTGATATTGACCAAATACTTATTTTCCACCATAATTTGCAAATAAATTCTTTCCAAATCAGCCAATGTGATTGTCAGGATTTTTTTTTCTCCTTTTGTCTCTCATAGTTGAGGTCTACCTATGAATGCCAATTACAGGCCTCTCTCATCTTTTTAAGTGGGAGAACTTGCACAATTGGTGGCTGACTAAATACTTTTTTGCCCCACTGTATATATTATTATTATATGATTAGATGTCTGAGCAGTGTACAATGGATTTTTTCCTTTATTATGTTTTGGCCAGTGTACATTACATGATATATATATATATATATATATATATATATATATATATATATATATATATATATATATACTGTGTATTTTTTTTTTTTTTAGTTATTATAAGATTAGATGTCTGAGCAGTGTACAATGGATTTTTGCACTTCATTATGTTTGGCCAGTGTACATTATGTGATATATACATATATATGTGTATGTATATATTTATATATTTATTATTATTAAGATTAGACATCTAAGCAGTGTACACTGCATTTTTCCCCTTTATTATGTTTGGCCAGTGTACATTACATGATATATATATATTATTATTATAAGATTAGATGTGTGAGCAGTGTACCTTACATGATATATATTTTATTATTATGTGGCAGGCCAAAGTGCATGATATATTATTGCTACAATTATTAATATGATATAGTGTTTCTATTAACATCATACATATATTGTTTTACATGTATTGATTTGTAATCATAAGTACGTTCTATATACATGGCTATCATGTGATTAGAGGTGTGGGAGTATGTGGTGGGTGGCAGATGAGGGGTTGATGATTGCTGGGACTGGGTGACACAGAAGTGGGACAAAGGTCAGATCAGTGCCGAGTACACAGACGTCCTTCCTGAGCTCGGGGACTGTCCATCCTCATCCAGAATAATGACCGATCAGGAGACTTCGGAGTGGAAGGTCGTGGCACAGATCGTACGATCAGGATTGCACCGATCACAGGTCATTCATCGAACACAGCGCACTGTACACCACTTACCGCAGGGCAGCACAGGCCGGGGCTCTGGAGGTAAGTCTGGCGGAGCTGTTAAGCCTCTGCAGTGATCTCCCTAGCAGTCCGATCCGGGCAGCCATGACTGACGATTGGAGGTCTGTGTACAGTCGGTGACAGGAGCCAGGAGCGAGGGGTGGGGCCAGGCTGTTCTACTGTCTGATTGACGTTTCCCAGAGCGGACGGAAGCAGCACAGCGCCCTCTTGTGGATGATCTCGGACTTTCGGATGACAGGGATTCACTTTTGATTCTCCGGGTGTAGATATTACAGCGCCCTCTAGTGGCTGATCTGGTAGCAGTAGACGATATTAGGGCTAGTTCACACAAGATGCAGTTCAGTGAGCTTTTTTTCTGCATCAAAAATGCATGCACAGCGTTTCCCATGTATTCCAATGGCCATAGTTCACACCAGTGTGGTCAGTTCCAGTCAGTTTCAGGTGCAGGAAAAAAAAGTAGAACATTCTGCATTTAATTCTGCACAGAACAATACTGGAACGTAGGAAAGTGCATCAGAACTGAACCAGAACTGTGTGTGGTGTGTAAAAAATGTAAAACGAATGTATTGTAGTATGAACTGGCCCTTAGGCTCCATGCACACCTATCCAGTTTGATATTTGTTCATTTTGCAGTGCTTTTCGCAGTTTGTTTTGCGTCTTTCTACACGCATTTTTGACGTGTTTTTACAGCATTTTGTGTTTTGTTCAGCTTTTCTTTTTTTCTTTTTTTTTTTAAAGTGGATTTGTTTTTGCTGGGCAGAATAAAAATGCAAAATGCAGCAAAAACACACTACCATTCATTTCAACAGATTCCCCATTGAACTCTATTGTAGCAAAAATGCTGCTTTTTGCTTTTAGGGTCAGTTCACATTACATGTGTTTCAGTTGCTTTTTTTTCTGCATCCAAAACGCACAGAAAGTAGGTTATATGGTTGTCAATGTCATAGTTCACATCCGTGCTTGCAGTTCCAGTGTGTTCTGGTCGCAGAAAAAAAAGTAGAACATGCTGCATTTTTCCTGCACAAAACTGTACTGGAATACTGTAAAATACATCAAAAATGCACTAGAACGCACATGTCCCTATTTAAATTGAAGAAAAATAAAGGGGAAAATTAACTGGAATGCATTAAAAAAAGGCACTGAAACGTTTAAAAAATGTATCAAAAACACACTGTAATGTGCCAAAAATGTGCATGCAAAAATGCATCCGGAACGCATCTGGACTGCGTATCTATAGTGTGAACCGGCCCTTAGGGTCACTTCACACTACATGCGTTGCAGTTGCTCTTTTTCTGCATCCAAAACGCACAGAAAGTAGGTTATATGGTTTTCAATGTCATAGTTCACATCAGTGCTTGCAGTTCTAGTGTACTCTGGTTGCAGAAAAAAAAGTAGAATTGCACAGAATTGTACTGGAACGCGGTAAAAAGCGTAAAATGCACCAAAAATGCACATGTCTCTAATTAAATTGAAGAAAAAGAGAGGGGAAAAAAATGAACTGGAATGCATGAAAACACACGGGAATGCATCAAAAACACACCGGAACACGCCAAAAACGCACATGGAAAAATGCATCCGGAACACATCTGGTCTGCGTTTCTGTAGTGTGAACTGGTCCTTAAAAAAGTCCCTGACCCTTTCCCGAAACGCATAGATGAATGTGACCATATTCCATAGGAAACCATGCTAAATGACCTGTAGTGCGTTTCTGCAAAAAGAACTAAAAAACATTGGTGTGAATGGAGCCTTAGCCCGGGTTCGCACTGATGCGTTGTGGAATTTGCACTGCTTTCTGTGCGATTTCCGCACCACATCATATTGGCACCCATTTCAAATGAACCGCTGCAGGTGTGTATTTTAAGTTAACGACACCCCGAAGTCGGTTTGCAAAACGTGGTGTGATGTGCAGAATCGGATCGCATGGGTGTGAACATCCATGTGATCCAATTCTGATGTGGAATAAAAAAGGGTCCTGCACTTTTTTGGTGTGGATGCGTTGCGATTTGAGCCATACAAAACAAATGGCTCAAACTGCACCGCACAGAAATCGCTTGTGATTTGCACAGCAATGCAGTGCGGTTCCTGTGCGAATCACATGCAATGTGCAGTACCCCTGAACCCAGGCTTAAAGAGTAACTCCACTTTTGTTGAGAAAAATAAACATTCCTCCCTGGGTGATCAATGTGTAGTACAAGGATTTTAACACACTTTGTTGCAGATTCCTACCTTTTGTTATTCTGAAGAAATAGCAGTTTGTGTGTCCATGTACAGAGGGAATCTAATGGGAGTGATTTTGTAATTATCAGCTGCTGCACCTGCAGGGCTCTAATGAGGAAAAGTGCAGGGTCTGCATCCCTGCAGGCTAAGTTCACGTTTGATCCATTTCTGCAGTACTTTTTTCATGCGTTTTGCGTTTTTTCCTTGTTGCTAGGCAGATTAAAACACAAAACGCAACAAAAGCGCAGCAACAATGCACTACATGCTTTTTCTGCAGCATTTCCATTGAAGTCTATAGAACCAAAAACTCAACTTTTTGCATTCAAAAAAGTCCCTGACCCTTTCCAAAAAACGCACCAGATGAAAAGGCAGAGATGTGAACGTGTCCCTTAGGAAATCATGGTAAATGGACTGTAGTACATTTCTGCAAAACGCAAAATGCTGCGGAAAACGCTTAGGTGTGAACTTAGGGTTAGACGTCATTTCCTTTGGGAGTATCTCACCACAAATGACAATTGTGTTGCAGGGGATGCCAAAATCTGACTTGTATCTTAGTGCAGACTTCTGGGAAAATCAGTGAGCCAATCATACAAGCAGGAAATGATATTTCTGGGGGGTGTTCTATACACCATGTTTGTACAGAATGCCTCCTGGTTGTCATATTGCATTGTACAGAAAATGCCAGCGCTGCAGATTGAAAAGGAAAGGCAGCTTTATTAACATTCAATTACAATATGATATGTAATGCAATTGTATATGATATACAGCCTGTTCCAAATTATTATGCAAATGATATTTTTCTCATTTACCTAAATAATTGATGTAAATAACAGTCAGCATAATTCTCATGGTATCAACTATTAAGAGTACAATTCAGATTTTATTGAACAAACCTCCTAATGATAACAGGATTTTTGTTAAACATAAAAAACGTACAATGCACTGTTCCAAATTATTACGCACAGTAAGTTTCAAAACACTTTATAGGTTGTAAAGAACTGAAAATTGTCATTTGTTGTGTTTGCAGCATATTTACTGAAATCAAAAGCTATTTCAATCAAACTTTTAACAACATTTTAACTTTTTAAACATTTTAACAGGTCACGTTACATTGTAACATAGGACCCCTTATTTGATAGCAGCTTCACAAGTCTTGCATCCATTGAACTTGTGAGTTTTTGGACAGTTTCTGCTTGAATTTGTTTGCAAGATGTCAGAATAGCCTCCCAGAGCTACTGTTTGGATGTAAACTGCCTCCCACCCGCATAGATCTTTTGCTTGAGGATGCTCCAAAGGTTCTCAGACTGGAAGGGTTCTGTTTCCCAACTGTTGTTTGAGATCTCTCCACAGGTGCTCTATGGGATGGAGTTCTGGACTCATTGCTGGCCAGTTCAGTCCTCTCCAGCGCTTCATCTGAAACCATTTCTGGGTGCTTTATGATTTGTGCTTTGGGTCATTGTCCTGCTGTAAGACCCATGACCTCTGATGAAGACCCAACTTTCTGACACTGGGCCCTACATTGCACCCCAGAATTCTTTGTTAGTCTTTAGATTTCATAATGTCATTCACACGGTCAAGACCTCCAGTGCCTGGAGCAGCAAAGCAACCCCAAAACATCAGTGAACCTCCACCATGTTTGACTGTAGGGACTGGATTCTTTTCTTTAAAGGCCTCATTTCTTTTTCTGAAAACAGTAAAATGATGGGCTTTACCAAAAAGCTGGAATTTTATTTAGTCTGTCCACAGCACATTCTCCCAAAGGATTTTGGTTTCCTCAGATGAGTTCTGGTAAACTCCAACCTGGCTTTTTTTTATGTTTCTGTGTCAGCAGTGGTGTCCTCCTGGGTTTCCTACCATAGCGTCTCTTTTCATTCAGATGGTGACATATAGTGTGAACTGACATAGTTGTACCCTGTGCCTGAATTTGTCTGGAAGTGGATCGAGGTTCTTTATCCCCCATTCAAATAATCCTTTGTTGCAATCTTTGATCAATTTTTCTCTTTCGTCCACATCTAGGGGATATTAGCTACAGTGCCATGGGCTGTAAACTTCTTGACAATGTTGTGCACAGTGGACACAGGAACATTAAGATCCTTAAAGGAAGGAGCTTGGTAATGGTGAAGTACATACAGTATATCAAATATCAAAAACTGTAGCTGCTGACTTTTAGAAAACAGCCACTTACCTGCCCTCGGTCCCGTGGTGTGTCCCCCGCAGCCCTTTTCACTGGACGTCCCGTATTCCAGGAGGCCGGCATCTTCAGTGTGGGAACCCGGCCCTGCACTTCATGAATGGTCCTGTAGTCTTCTGGAACCTGTCACGTGTCCTACAAGACTACAGGGAGGGAGGGAGGACACCTTCCGCTTCCAATCGTCTAGGTGATCGGACCAGACGTGGGAGCGAGTCCCCACCCCCCAAAAGTGCCAATCTTTAATGGGGAGCGGGGAAGCAGTCCTTAAAGTGGAACTTCCCCTTTTGAGTGGAGCTCCGTTTTAGGCCTGGGTTCACATATATGCGGTGCGGTATATAACGTGATTCGCACAGGAACTGCACCGCATTCCTGTGCAAATCACATGCAATTTGTGTGCGGTGCGATTGGAGCCATACATTGTGTATGGCTCTAATTGCACCGCACCAAAAAGGTGCAGGACCCTTTTTTGGTCTGCACTAGAATCAGATCGCATGAGTATTTACACCTATGTGATCCGATTCTGCACATCGCACCACATTTTACAGAGCGATTTTGGGGTGTTGTTACACACCCGTAGCGGTTCACATGAATGGGGTGCGATTCTGATGCAGTGTAGAATTTGCACTGAAAACACTGTGAATTCCGCACCACATCAGTGTAAACCAGGGCTTACTAATA